TGTGCATATATCTGCTTGGGTGGCAGTTATGGTCTCTTTGGGGTATATTCCCAGTAGTGGAATTGCTGGGTCAAATGGTATCTCTTTGCAACTTTTTGAGAAAGTGTCATACCGCTTTCCCCTGTGGTTGCACCATTTTAACTTACACCAACAGTGAATAAGGGTTCCAGTTTTTCCACAACCTCGCCAGCATTTGTTGCTTGCTCTTCTGCGAATTTTGCTATTCGTACTGGAGTGAGATGATATCTCATAGTTGTTTTGATTTGCATCTCTCTTAGGGCTGGGGATTTTGAACATTTCTTCATGTGTTTGTTGGCCATCTGAATGTCTTCTTTGGTGAAGTGTCTGTTCATATCCTGTGCCCATTTTTCAATTAGATTGTTTACCTTTGTCTTGTTATGGTGACAATAGATAATCTTTATAGGAGTATGTTGCTAGCTCTTTTTCCTGCAGATACACTAGGTAATCAACCACTTAAACACTGCATGACTGAGGCTTCTCAGAATACAACTTAGTAAAAGCTTTTAGGGAAAGTTGTCTTTTGTCACATTAGGTTGCTATGTGTCATATCTACTCCGTGGAACCTAACAACAACAATATCTGTAACTAGTAATAGTGTGTGTTAGTGGTGTAACTAGTATTGTGTGTAACTAGTATGGTGCCCAAACTGAGTTATACCTCTAAATTTATATTCATATACCTAACATAGATAGGAAGACAGTAAAGTAACATTGTGTCTTAAGTAACAATGTGTGTCCTTGCTTCATAGAAAAAAATATTGAATATATTTTCTAAAAGCTTATGAAATTGCAGATTTAAAATTGCTAAGCCCCACATGCAAAACTTATGCTTGGAGATGACCAGGAGGCATTCATTTGAACAGAACAACGAAAGCACTGCATGGTTCAAAATCAGGAAAGGAGTGTGTCAGGGATGTGTCCTCTGTTCATACCTTTTCAGTCTATATTCAGAACAGATCATTCCAGAGGCTGGACTTCATGAGGAGGAGTGAAGCATCAGGATTGAAAGAACACTCATCAGCAGCCTGTGTTATACAAATAATATACCTTGCTTGCTGAAACTGAGGAGGACCTCATGCACTTGCTGCATAGGGTCAAGGACTGTAATCATCAATATGGATTGAAGTTTAACATCAAGAAGACAGAGATTCTCACTGTGGGGCTATTGCCTGCACCATGATAGATGGAGAGGAGATTGAGACTGTTAACAATTTTCAGCTTGCTTATCTCTTGGCACCAGCAGTCAGGAAATCAAAAGACTTAATTGCACTAGGGAAGTCAGCTGTCAGAGTACTGAGGCACAATTAGGTCATTCTGGAGACTAAGGTGTGCCTGATCCGGGCTGTGGTCTTCTCAGTTACATGCATCAGAGAGCTGGACAATGACTAAGATGACAGAAGAATTGATTCCTTTGAGTGGTGGTGCTGGAGAAGAGTATTGAACATACCATGGACCACCAGAACAAAAAGAACAAATAAGTCTGTCTTGAAGAGGGTGAAAACGTTTTTCTCCTTGGAAGCAAGGATTTTGAAGCTCCCTCTCACATACTTTAGTCATGTAGCCAGGAGGAACCGTTCCTTATAGGAGGACACCATGCTTGGAAGGGTGGAGGGGACAGCACAAGAGAGGAAGACCCTGGATGAGATCTATTGATAGGATAAGTGGAACAATAGAATTAGATATGTCATAGTCAGTGAGACTGGCTTAGGATAGGGCAGGGTTCAGAGCTATTACACATAGGGTCACCATGTGTTGCAGGCAAGTTGATGGCATATAACAACAACAAGCCCAACACAGGTTGTTGGAAGCTTCATTGCTTCATTACTTTCATAGTGAATGTTTCTGCATCATCTCACTGTAAAAGTGCTATTCCTCTGCATCTAACATCATTACTTAGAGGGAATAAATAGATAAAAGTTTAGGGTAGAATTTAATTACAAGTCAACAACAGAGTTTACTTCATGTTAACGTAGTATTCAGGGAAAAGAAGAGATGTGGGTATTATTAACTACATACTAGATGATTCCTAAAGGGTTTTAGTTTTCATTAAAAATATTTATTATTATTCATTTCAGTGAACATTTACAGAGATTTTGGATTTCCATTCATTCATTGTTGCACTTTTCTCCCCACCCATCCTCCTACCCTCAGTTCGCTCTTCTCTTTGAAAAGTAAAATTCCTTTATTGGTATACAATCCACCCCACTCCCCACCCCCTGCACTCCCCCACACCTACCCAGAGTATAATCCACTCTGCATTTTAAGGAGTTGTACTTTGTTGCATACTTTTTGCTTTTAGAAACTGTGTATAGTAGTGGAAATGTGAGGACAATGAGCTACTGTCTTGAAACAAAGTGTTAAGGCTATTACATGTATTCCAGGTGTATTTAAATAAGTGAATATAAAATTGTTATAATTGGTGATAAAATGTTTGACCAGTTCAGCACATGTATTATTGTGGTTGAATTGAATTTTTAACTGATGGGTTACAGGATTATTTTTGCAAACTACATAGCAAATTATATCATCCTTTATATCTTCTTTATGTTTTTTTTTCATGGATGGGAGAAACTATAATCACTTCACTTGCTAACTTATTGGCCTTTTAGTTCATTTTAATAGTATCTTAGAGACTGCTTCTGAGGAGCCTGCTGAATTATTAAGTTGATAATTTGGTCTGTTGCTGCTCTCTTTTTAGTTTAAAGCTATTTTACTTTTCTTATAGTTCTTAAGATTTCATATTTTTTGTCTTGTATGCCATATACCATATACAAATTTTTCATGAAAGTAGATGTTTGCTAATTAGTGTGGCGTTTGACTGTGTGGATCATAGACTCTGAGAAGAATTGGAATACCAGAACACTTGATTGCGCTAATAAGAAACCTATACTGGGACCAAGAGGCAATTGTCAGAACAGTGTAAGGGAACACTGCATAGTTCAAAATTGGGAAGGGCGTACGCCAAGGATGTGTCCTGTCTCCATACCTTTTCAACCTGTATGCAGAACAGATTATCCAGGAGGCTAGGCTCTATGAGGAGAAATGTGGGATCAAGATTGGTGGAAGATCTATCAACAATCTGCGATATGCAGTGCTTGCTAAAGAGGGTCAAGGACTACAGCCTCCAATGTGGATTGAGGCTCAATGTCAAGAAGACAAAGATTCTCACCACTGGACCAATTGGCAGCATCAGGATGGATGGTGAAGAGATTAAGATTGTTCACAGCTTCAGTTTGCTTGGCTCCACAGTCAACACTCTCGGCACCAGTAGCCAGGAAATTAGAAGACATATTGTCATGGGAAAGTCTGCTGTTAGGGACCTCTCCAGAAAAAGTACTGAAGAGCAGTAATGTCTCTTTGGAGACTAAGGTGTGTCTGATAGAGGCCATGGTCTTCACAATCACTTGTTATGCATCAGAGAGTTGGACAGTGACTAAGGAGGATAGAAGGAGAATTGATGTCTTTGAGCTTTGTTGCTGGAGAAGAGTATTGAGGGTACCATGGACTGCTAGGAAAAAAGATTCATCCTGGAAAGGGTCAATCCTGGCTGCTCTTTGGAGGCAAGGATTCTAAGGTTCCGTCTGACATACTTTGGACATGTTGCAAGGAGGGGACAGGTCCTTGGAGAGGGACATCATGCTTGGTAGGGTGGAGGGACAGCACAGAAGGGGAAGGTCCCCTCTGAGGTGGATTGATTCAGTGACTGGGGTAATCGGGATGGGTGTACCGGAGATGGTGCAATTGGCACAGGACAGAACAGAGTTTAGGGATGTTGTACATAAGGTCACTATGAGTCTCAAGTGACTCGACGGCACATAACAACAACAACAACAACCACAACAACATGCCATTTGCACCAGAACTGAATGAGCCTAGCCTTCCATTAATACTTATTTAATGAAAGAATAAATTAATTGGTTGTTGGGACTTATATTAACCTAAGCAGGGGAAAAGATACTATCCTATATTTTATTAGATATGATATTGCTGCTCTTGAAAGAATAAACAGTTTTGTTGTTGTTGTTTTAATTAAAGATTTTAAGGGAAGTAATGAGTTCATGTCTTAATATGGCTATTAAATACTTATAAGTACTTAAGGCAGTGCAAATGTGGGGAATTAAGAACATAATTTAAAAAGAAGAGATTATAAAAATAAGGGTATGTTATTCAGTAAGAGAAGCCATCAGTATAATGAGAGTAGAATTGATAACTCTGTGGTGCTTTATTCTTCTGAAAAGGTATTTTACCATACATATTACATAGATCTGACTGTGTCCCATTATCTGTAAACTGTATTATTTCTGTAGATAATCTTCTCAGATGTACAACTAAATCAACATGTTTTATATTTAAAAGATATTTCTGATATCATTGTATTCCTTTATTTAAATATTACATTTATGTGTATCAAAGTATGTTCTGTTACAGATCATGCTTTTGAAAAGTGATTTTAGTGAAAGTGTTATACAGTGAAAATGCAGTTTGCATAGGTCTCAAATAAAAGGAATTTTAAGATCAACATTTTTGGCACAAGATTAATGTTGATATTTACTCACGTAAATAGAACAAAGTATTGTCTAATTAGTGTGGTTTGTAAAATTTTGGTACTTTAATTTACTCTTTTATTGTAAATCATGCATTAAATTTTTGCCTATTGAGAAGTGCAGAATTGTCAAAGCTTAAACAGCTAACATCTGCTTACTCTCTTTAAAAAAAAAAAAAAGAATAACAAGCCATTTCAGCCTGATCTACCTCAAATGTGTTCATGTAAATGGAGGTCCATCTATTGACCTGTACTCTTTTCAGCTCAGGATTGGTCCACATGGTTTATGAAACCAGGAAGGCTGATTTGAAATGCAGATGTCGAGACAGTGAAGTACACCCTCCCCTTTTTTCTTTGCTGTATCTGTCAGGGTGAAAAATGGCTTGCACAAGGGTCACTCACCCATACTCACTTAATTACTTTTCTTGGACCCACAGAACTGTCACAAGCTGTGGTGGATGCAGGAGCAGTTCCTCTTTTAGTACTCTGTATCCAGGACCCAGAAATTGCTTTGAAAAGGACTGCTGCTTCAGCCCTCAGTGATATTTCAAAGCATTCTCCAGAGTTAGCTCAGACAGTAGCGGATGCAGGAGCTATTGCTCACTTAGCCCAGATGATCCTCAGTCCTGATGCCAAATTGAAGGTATTTAAAAATAAAAAACAGTCATTTCAAGCATAAACATAGTAACCTAAGAGAGTGTAATGTACACAGATTAATGACCATTTAAAAAAAATCATAATTATTGAGCACAGATATAAATTGATTATGTATATTATTTTCTAATATATAAACATAATTGTTATAATAATTAGATAATAAAGATGCAATTGGGAGAAGTATGTAATGTTGAAAACTGGTAGAATCAATGTTAACATTAATAACTAAAATAAGGAATAATAATCAGAACTTTAAGGTTGGAAGAGACCTCTGAGTTTTCACATATTACTACTATAGTATTAACATTTCTTGTGCAAAATTACTATATTAGTCCTTTAATCAGTTTGTAGGCACAATGTACTTATTTTTCTAGTAGTTATACTCTGTCTGGTTAAAATTAGTAATGTAACTTAAGCAGTTGGAAATTCTTTGAAATTGTATGAGCACCTTATTATAAATGTTCATTACCACATATCCTAAATTAACAACATATTGTATAATTAAGAAGTATTATTTATCCAAAGGTAATAGTCTTTGATAATCTGCGCAGTAGATGAGAGTTTTAAGTAGCCAATTAAGAACTAAGACACTCAGTTTTTAAAATTGGGCATTTAAAAATTATAAAGTGTAAAATTTGAATGTGAATACCTTAAGACTCTTAAGCTATCTTAAGTTATATTAGATATGTAACTGCATTTCCTTTTTATAAAGGAATGTAACTATGTTTGTAGCTAAGTAAGTTACAGTTAAATTCTTTTGTGGCCTTTAAGTAATGTTTGATTTGTTTTTGTTTAACAGTGTCAGGTCCTTTCAGCTCTCAGTCAGATAGCAAAACATTCTGAGGATCTGGCAGAAATGGTGGTTGAAGCTGAGATTTTTCCTGTTGTACTTACCTGTCTAAAGGACAAAGATGAATATGTGAAGAAAAATGCTTCTACTTTAATTAGAGAGATTGCAAAACATACATACGAGGTAAAAATGAAAAAGCTTCCGAATAGTTTTAGTTGTAAATAAAATGCCACTCTGTTTATGCAGCCCAAAGATTGTCTAATTATATCAGGATTTCTAATTCTCAGAACTATTTGACATTTCAGTCTGTTCAGTTGTTTTGTGGAAACTATTAGTGTTGCATTGTGGGATGCTTAGTTACTGATGCCAGTAACACCTCCTGGTAATGATGATAAAAAATATCTCCCAAAATTTCCAAATGTTCCCTAGGGGACAAAATTGCTCCCACTTGAGAAGAACCATTGAGTTTGATCAGTGGAGTATTGTAGTATGAAATCTAACTTTTTAGTAATTTTCAGCTTCCTGTGTTCAGTGTCTAGATGCCACAAACCTTTGCTATCCTTATAATTTTAAGTCATCAGGAGTAGTGAGAATGATATTAAACCTCCACATTAAGAGAGATCACAAAGATACCTTCACTTTATGCATCCACCCTGATAGCTGCTCTTACATGGTTATTTCCTGCTCTGAATTCTTAAATGTGAAGACACTAGATAAAGCAGGCCTCTATTCTCTATTAGTACCATTTTTCTATGTATTTTTTTACCTATAATAAGTTTTCATTTAATTAAATTTTAAAGTCTCTTATTTCACATAACAATTTTACCTAGTTGTGATTTTTAAAGATTGAGGTGCAGCTAGCTAGTAATAATCCCTAGCAAAGATAATTAGATGAAAATTATTCAAGTCTGACATTGTCTATTGGCATTTAATGATTAATCTACTTTATATGCACACATTGTGATTGTAGATTTTAGTAGTAGCTAGTTAACTACTAGTGTTGGGCTTAGTGTCTAGGTGAGGAATTTTGACATCCATTTTAAAAGGGATAAAAGTTGTGTCATTGCTGTATGAAAAATTAAACCACAGAGCAAAGTGCTTTACCATGTATTTGAAATACTGAGATATTTATACTTATATATTTCTTGAGTGAATATGGTAGTTTTACTAAGTGATCTTTCAAATTTTACAAGTGTTTTTAGGTTTCAAGTAAGAATGATTATGAATACTTGACTATATATACAGAGATTGTTTTATGCTTTATGGTTGTACCTATCTTGCCCTACTTTTTCCCAGCTTTCACAGCTAATAGTTAATGCAGGAGGAGTTGCTGCTGTGATTGATTATATTGGATCCTGCAAAGGAAATATAAGGCTGCCTGGCATCATGATGCTTGGCTACGTGGCAGCTCATTCTGAGAACCTGGCGCTGGCAGTGATCATGTCCAAGGTTGGTGCTTGTTTCTTATTTTGTGGTTTGTTTGGTTTTTTTTCCTTAAAAAAAATACTTCAGTGAGATAGTCTAGTTAATAGTCTAATTATTTCTAATTTATCACTGTCATACAAAATGTAAGTATATGACAAACTATAACTGATTACAGTGAAATAATTATTAGAAAAACTTTACAGCTTTTGTTTCAATGCTTATTAGTGATTTTCTGAAGCAATGCCTGAAATAAAGTTTACTTTATAGAAAGTTTGTAGTCTTATTAATGTTTAATATTAGCAAACAACAACAACATTAACAAAATGACTATTTTTATTATTTGCATTAAACCAAACCAACTCACTGGTTTTGAGTTGATTCCAACTCTTAGCAACCTTACGGGGCAGAGTAGAACTGTCCAAAGAAGATTCCAAGCTGTAATGTGGCAGCCTTCTTTTTTCATCCCACAGAATCCTTTTGGTTAGTAGTCTAATACTAAACCTGCTATGCCTTCTGAACTCCCTAGAATGTTAGCATTCTTTGTATTTAAAAATTGAATATATTTGTATTTTTAAGATTTGACTTAGGCATATTTAGGAGGGTTTTTTTTAATCGCCTTTTATACTTTTGAAAATTGAACATTGAATAAGAATTATAGAAAAAGAATCTATGTTTTTGAATTGTGGTATTGGCAGAAAGTTGAATATCTCGTGTACTGCCTGAAGAATAATTAAGTCTGTCTTAGGAGAAGTGTAACCAGAGTGCTCCTTAAAGATAAGGATAGTGAAATTCTGACTCACCTACTTTGACAAGGGCTAATCCTTGGTAAAATTATTATGCTACAAAAAGTGGAGGTCAGAGAAAGAGAGGAAGACCCTCAACAAAATGGATTGACATAATGAGAGTAACAGTGGGCTTGAGCCTGATAGAGATAGTGAGAATAGTGTAGATTAGGACAAGGTTTAGGGCTTCTATGAGTCATGGTCAACCTCAAAGGCATTTAACAACAGACATATTTACAAATAAGCAATGCATACTTTGAGTATAATAAACTAATGTAAATGTCTTGTCCAGTAATCATTTTCATCATTCTGATAGGTCTATAAATTTCCCCCATTTCCTTTCATTCAAATAGTAGACTACAATGGCAAGGACATACATTTTTACCAACTTTTCTTTCTTGCTTTCATGATCAAGTATTTTTCTTACAAGTAGACATTTTCTAGCGTAAGTAGTGTTTTTATTTCTTTAATCTAGGGATTATTGCTCCATCCCAGTTCATAACATAGAATATATGTGCCAGAGTCCTGGCACATAGTAGGTATTCAAGACGTATTTGTTGAATAAATGAATGCTGATATACAGAAGAATATTTTAAAAGATATGTATTTACAGTGTGTCTATAGCACCTTCCTTGGATGTGGGTTCTTATCAGCATAGAAAACCTGCTGCTGTATGCTAAATAGAAATGTGGATTATTTTTTATCCTTTGCTAATCCTCAGAATAATAAGAAGCCTCAGATCTTTATTTTCTATCTATTCCCTGGTAATTATTTGCTTCCTTCCCTTTTTATTCTGCTATTTCGTTTTGTTTTTCTATTATCAAAGACTATCACAACTGTCTGGAGCAGTACTCATGCTTCCTGAAAGGTCATTGTCACTGTAGTGAAATTACAGGGGGTTTTGATTCTTGATTTTTTGATGGGGTGTCAGAAAGCTTACACAGGGAAAATTGGAAGGGAGGGGAAGATGAAATTGCTTTTACCTCCTATGTCTCTTCCTCAAACCAATGAGGAGATTCCCTCCTTCTTTGGTCTCCTTTGTATGAGGTTGCTGCTGGCTTTTCCCATGTAGTCTGTTTTTCTGTTAATTGAAGATCAAGTTGGTAGCAACAATTAAAGGTCAACCACACAGTACTATATCATTCTGTCCTTCTCTGAAATATATCTAAAACAATAACAACAACAAAACCTTATTGCCATCGTGTCAGTTCTGATTTATTGTGACTCTCTATCAAGTTTCTAAGACTGTAAATCTTTATGGAAGGAGACTGCCTCATCTTTCTCCTATGGATTGACTGGTAGATTTGAACAACTGACCTTTCGGTTCACAGTTTAACATATAACATACTATGGCACCAAGATTCCTTAAATGTTAGTATAACATCTTACATTTCATATTTCTTCCCCCCCCCCCCATACTCCTTATTTTACTTGCTGTTCACAGCAACCGAGACTGGTAAATCAGGACTTGAGGGTAGTGGGAAGATACGGTCTTCTTTTCTTCTTGCTTCTTCAGTCTCAGTGTCGCTGAGGAATGGACTTCCTGGAAAGTTGCTTTATTCTGAAGACAAACCTGACCTTTTATACTGACAGACACATACATATTTTCAGTTGTAGGAAAGAAGCCAAGAAGTATGACAGATTTCTTTAGGACATTGATCTTAATAACTGAATTAAAATGTAGAGGTAAACAAACATATTTGCTAAGTTAACATCACTTTGTAATACTAGTTTTGATAATAAGAAATTGATATATGAAGGAGGAGGAATCTTTTAGCATCCAGAACTCCATGTTGCCCAAACTTGAGGGTAACAAAGGTGACCAGGCAGACTTGGACGTGAACTGTCTGCACTTCTTTTTTTTTTTTTTTTAAAGCTTAAAGCAGTCTTATTAAGGGGGCTCTCAGGTGGGATTCCTTGGTCTGGAGAGAGACAGACCAGGGGAAAACTGTGCTATTTTCTCATTTTTTAGAGTTACAGATGAAAACAGTTACAAGTAACTGTACTGATGCACTGTATTTCATTTACTAAACTTCACCCATTTTAAAGGTTATATAAAATATTCTTTCATACATTTTTTTAAAACTTTTAACAGAGATTCACTTTTTATACATTCTTCACAGCATGGCATAGACTGTACTGTACTACTTTTTCTTTAAAAGAACTGTTTATCACTCTTACTATCTTTCTATCTGACCACAGAGACCTGTGCATACTTTTTATGCTCTTTACTATTGCTTAATTAACGCTGCTAATAATTTTTATTTAAAACAAGCAAAAAAATAAAGTTCTTAATATTTAAAAAAAAAGAAATTATTATAGTGTCAGATTAGTCAGAAAATTTGGCTTATGTAGAAATTGACATTATAGTTGAGCTTGATTAGTTCTTTTTTGGGAATATAAACTAAGTTATTTGAGGCCCTTTAGTTTTCCGTTTCTGTTGTCTAGATAAAACTGAAAACTAAATTATGAAAAGTAAGCATGTGCTATTTGTTTAACAAAAATAAGAATTTATTCTTTGACATTTAATTATTTTTAAATAGACAAAACTATAAAAGTTGATTAAAAACAGATTTTTTCATTATTTTAAGAAATGTATCAGTATATATATTTTATTTGAAAGACATCTTATATGTTCTAACTCATTGACTTGATTTTCATCTAAAATGGTTATTCTTGGATTTATAACATTTGATGAAAAAAGACAACTTCTGTAAATATTTGGAATTAGGTGTTTTTTTTTTAACAAGGAAAAAGTTTTAAAATCTTACAGATTTTTGGTTTATTATGATATAATCTGATTTTGCCAGTATCCTAGTCTGTGGCATCTGTTTGATTAAATGCCTCTCTATTTAGAGGGTAAAAGCCAGCAGATATGTTCTTCATTTAGTTGGATTGTTACAGATAATTTAGGTAAATTAGTTCTAGTCATTTTATTGACTTGAAAAATAGCAGCCCCTGTGATGTGCTCATTTATTGAACCATTTAGCAAAAAAGAGATCAAGACCAAAATGATTTCTTCTAATGTTTGAGAGACATGGAAAGTCTCTTTAATCCTGCTCTAGATTTGTAACACTTGTTCTTTTGATCAACCCTGCAGGGTGTACCCCAGTTGTCAACCTGCTTGTCAGAAGAATCAGAAGATCACATTAAAGCGGCTACAGCATGGGCCTTAGGACAGATTGGGAAACATAGTCCTGAACATGCACGGGCTGTTGTGGTCACAAATACTTTGCCTATTCTGCTTTCTTTGTACATGTCCACAGAAAGTTCTGAGGATCTTCAAGGAAAAGTAAGTACTTGATTCATAACTCTTTTGTGGAAATGTTTCATATTTTTG